GGGCCTCCCTAGGGCAGAGTAGAGGGGGAGGAGAGCCTCCCTCGACCTGCTGGCCACACTCTTAATGCATCCCAGGACACCACTGGCCTGCCCATCATCCCTGCCCATCCCTGCCGCCCCTTCTTCCAAAGGCAGGCAGGCACCTTCTGTCCTGAGCAGCAAGGTGAGGGGTTTATAGGTGCTTCCAAAATATGCTTCCGGGAATCCGTGCCGACCTCTTGGATCCCTTCGGATCGGCTCCACGGAGCCGGGTGTCTGCATCGCAAACAGCAGTGGCCCGCCGGCGTTGGCAGTGGTGGCAGGGCTTTGCTGGGGGGGCATCAGTTTGTGTTTCTGGTTGGCTTCGTCGTTAAACCCGAGTAGGAGGACAGAACATGAGGTGTGCCTTTGGTTTGCACAGAGGGGTAAGGAAACCCCAACTATTCACAGAAATTGGTAGAAAAATCATAACAATTAAGTTCCCTACTATGCAAGCAAATTCGATTGCACAATAACATCAGCATCAAAAGGGTGTCCCTTTCAGCTACATTTTTCAGGTCAGGCTTGGATTACACCCCCAGATAGCTGCCTGAATGCCCAGTTGGCTTCCATGGTTAAGCTTTAAAAAAGCAGCACTTCAGGTAAATTCACAAATGCGCCCCTGCCTTTGGCTGGTACCAGCCCGAAGGGCACTGCTTACCGTTAAATTCTGTATTTAGAGCGAGAAACTGTGCCTTTAGCTCGCCGCGGTGCCAGGAACAGGCTTTCCCCTGAAGGCTGCCCAGCGGGGGCTCTCAGGGTGGCCCCACGCACACCTCGGAGCTGGGTGCCGCGCAAGAGGCACCAGCGGATGCTCCTCCTTTGGAAGACACAGGCGGCGGGGATGGTGGCAGCAAGGATGGCAGCGGCGCGGAAGCTCCCCTTCTTCCCCTTCTATTGCATGGCCACGCAGGAGCACTTGCCCAGGAAGTCGGGTTGAAGTTCAGCTCCCCACTGAGCTGGAGGGGGCTCCAAGCCCACCGCCCTGCTGCCGGGGAGAGCCACGGTGGGGGGGTCACTTTCTCT